CGGGTGGCTGGCTCATGCTGTGCCAGGTGCAGGGTCTGCTGGCTGGGTGCTGGCAGGCTTGCAACTGGCACAAGCACTGTATCCAGACCGTGCCCCTTTAAGGGCTCCGGGGCCGGAAGGGGGGGCAGAAAAGTTTCCCTGGTTTGGCCCAGAGTGGCCATCAGGGCAACCTGGGAAGGGCTAGCCTCCAACTAGTTCGAATTAAGTGGCTACACATCCCTTAATTCAAACTACTTTAATTCGAACTAGGCGTTACTCCTCGTAGAATGAGGTTTATCTAGTTCGAATTAAGCTCTCCGCTATTTCGATTTAAGTTTGAACTAGCGGTTTTCATGTATAGACTCTATGAAAGTTAATTCGAACTAATGGCTGTTAATTCAAATTAACTTTGTAGTGTAGACATACCCTTAGGGACTTATTTCAAAATAACTCCCCTTATTTTGAAATAACAAGTGGAGCATCCACATTACCAAGCCCACTATTTTAAAAATAACAGGCTGGTTATTTTGAAATAACAACTCCTGCTTTCCATGAGGAATAACGCTTATTTTGAAATAGTTATTTGGGGAGTTATTATTTCGAAATAAATTATTTCAAAATCATTTCCTAGTGTAGACATGCCCTTCTTGGTCTATTTCTCTTATTTTGTGGTGATACTTTTTGTGGAGCTTGTCAGGCCAATAAAGTATTACTGAATTGACATAAATTAAGTGAACTGATTTTGGCTGCCTGTCTGTATGACAGGAGCGTTACAATATTGATGGATGGGAAGTGGAAAAATAAGGGTGAGATAAGCTTTCCGACAGGAGGAGATGGAACTGCAAGGGAAGATGCCAAGGATAGCCATGGGGTATGAAAGTGGGATTCTTAGAGTCCTGCTGTGACTTCTTATCCTTAATCTGTAAATCCAGACTGCAGCTTTTATCTAATACAGTCTAAATCAGCTTCACTGTAGTAAAATGCCTTCTCTATCTGTAGTAAACAAAATACCTTCTTTACTTTAATGTAAAATGCATTAATCATCAAATATGTTTGTTGTCAATACCAAGCATAAATTGAAATAATTGTGGAATAAACCTCACTTTATTGTGCACATGTTAAATTAAACATATATCTTTTACTAATTAGTTTTACATTTCTCATTTGTAGCAATATTAAGTAAGGGGGATATGAAGAAATGCTATAACATCTGTGTTCATTAAAAAGATAATACTTTAAAATGCTTCTAATTTTATTAAATCTATTCAGTGGAATCACTTAAAGCTTTTATAAAAAATTAAATATTTGATCCCATTAAAAAGCATTGTTAGTCTGGGAAGTAATATTTTGGTTTTCTTATAGAACTATTTAAATAAATTCACACTAACTACATTTTTAAGATGTGTTTTACTGTGGAATAATGACTAGCACCTCCATAATATATATTAAAGAGGCTAACCTAGTTGATGTTGCATGGTTCTGAACCCCTTTTTAATGTCCTGGTAGAGTGCCCTTTTATCCAGACCATGTTAAAACATTTGAAAATGTTCAAAAGTATTCTAAACAAGTATACTTTATCAAGTAATTTCCAAAAATGAATGTATATTCAAACTATTGTTTATTTCATGTGGTTAGTGCATTCCTTTTATAGTGGTTTTTAATTATAACTTATTCCAATAGAGGAATTATTGACATCACATATGCACCAGAGCAATGAAGAAATTAATCAAAAGATGTTGAAGATTCTGCAAGATTTGGAACCAGCAGAAGTAATACCTAGGAAACTGTTAGCTTTGAAGGTAAGAATGGAAAGTTATATATACAGTAAAACCTGTGTTATCCTGCACGCTCGGGGATTAGGGCATTCCAATTATCTAAAAATTCTGGTTATCTGAGGGTCCCATCAACCTAGGAAAAACCAATGGACAATAATAGTAAAACTCAAGTTTTTAATATTGGTAGTTTTATAGTATGTGAGGCAGTTGATCTCACATTTCTATTTTGAGTTAAAGATTATTAGTACTTCTTAAATAAAAAATTGTTAAGCCAATCATAGTAAACCAAGCCAGGCCTGTGCACCTGAAGATGTAACAGTACTGTGGCTGGGGGCAATGCCAGTTAACAAAATTTTCTGGTTAACAGAGTGCCAGATAACAAAAGTTTCACTGTAGTTAATATAATGCAAAGAGTGATTATTCCACTATTTGGACCAAGCACAGAGGATATATTATGTCTGATTTCCCACATAATTGTGCAGATGAGGGTTAAGTGTGTGTGAGTAGGCTGATTTGGGGACACATTCTCCTTTCACACCCTGGAAGTAATGTAAGGCCATGTCTACATGGGAATGATTTTTCTGTGTAATCTATGGTGCAAACCAGGGGTGCACAACCATCAGCCCTCAGGCCGAATCTTGTCCATTGATCAATTTCAGCCAGCTTGTGATGCTGAGTGGCAAACACAGGCTCGTCCCATCATGGAGGGAGGCTCTGTGTCTCACACACACACACGCATTGGGGATCTGGTGCCACGAGTGCTGGTTTACCCCACTGCAGGTAGGAAGCCTCAAGCTTTTGGTGTGGGCTCTGGACTGCGATTGCAGTTTTCTGTTGGTCTGTGGCCCATGACAGAAAAAAGGTTTTTACTCTTAAGGTGACCAAATTTCCCTGTGCTGAATTCAGGACACTTGGTACAATTATTTGTAAACAAACAAATTCAGCGGCATTCAGAACTATGTAGTACAAATATTCAAATTAACAAAAGTTGAATGAGTCCTAGTTAAATAGTGCATAGCTAGAGTCTTTTTATTTGCCTTCTCATCTCTAGGGTTTGCATGGTGAGAAGTTTCTCTCTCACTCTCACTCACTGACCTGACCCAACCCTCCCTGTCCAGTGCTCTCCATTCTGTCTGGACCCCCAGGATGGACCTGCCTCTCCTGGCACTTGGAATCACATTTTCTCAAGGCAACAAGTGGGGACCACACAGGTTCACAGGCCCAACTTCCCCTGATCTTTGTGAGGGTTAATCCCAGAAAATGGCCAGCAGCAGCCTTTCAGCACTATGCAGGAGGGAAGGGCTTACATTCACAGGAGGGTAGAGGTGGGGGTGGGTGTACGGAGTGCTTTGCCCATGTCTTTACCAAGGGTGGAGTTTCGGGAGGGCAGGGAGAGGGAGGGAGCAGTCATGCGCACCAGAATGTGGCTTGCTTTTTTCCCCATCCCCTAGACTATTAGGGAATGAGGGGAAAATATTAACATTCTGTGCATGCCTCTTACTCCTGGCTGGTGAATGGAGGGGGCAGAGGAGTAAATCATGGAATGCAAGTACTTTCTTCTTGCTCCCTAATAGTCTGGGGAATGGGAAGAAAAGCAAGCCGTGTCCCTCTTGTCCCTGGCTACAGTGTGGGCAGGAAGGAGTCCTAAAGATGCATTGTGCATCATGGTCCGGGAAACCTAACTGCAGGTGACTCACCAGGGCCAGAGAGGTAACCCACCAGGGGAGGGTGATTAGGAGAGAGAGCAGCCCCAAATTTCTGGGGGCAGGATCGAGCTGGAATCAGCATATCTTAAATCACCATCCACACAAGTGCTCCTTTCGGCTTCCCTTATTCCTCATGAAGAGCAGGAGTACGGGCACTGATGGGGGTGCCCATTGAGTTCGATTTAGCACGTCTTCACTAGACTCACTAAATCAAACCCCAGAAGATCGACCGTGGCAGTATTGATCTTACCCATAGTTTAGACAAGCCTTGAGTGAACCACCTTCAAACAAACAAACCAAAAAAGCAGAATTAACCTGTGGTACTCATTACCACAAGCTATCATTCTGGCTAAGAGTATAGCAGGATTCAGTAAAGGAGTAGGGATATGTATATGAATAATGAGAACATCTACAGTTACATAAATTAAGGTTTTTTTTTACTATGGTTACAAATCTTCATGCTTCAGATTATAACTCAACCACTAATTGATGGATGTCAGGAAGCAGCTTCTCTTGTATTGGGTAACAGTCACTGTCAAAGAGAGGATACTGGACTAGATGAAACATTCTAGTATAACAGTTCCTGGATACTTTTCATGTATAGGTAAATAGTTTGTGAGTTGCAGCAGATAGCATGTGTGCGCACACACACGCACCCATAAAATCATACACATATGCACTATGGAACACACTAAAATTTATCTTTTTTCTTTTTTAGAATCTTCAGGAGATCATTGCTCAGAAAAAGGAAAATACTTATGTATACTCAGATGTTTCAAAGAAGATTAGGCAGACTTCTGAAAAAAGAATACCTTTGAAAAAAAGAAGGAAGAGATTAATTATAGCAAAGTCAATACTAAGGGCTGCAAGAAATGATAGTTGGATATTCAGAAAATATAATAAAACACAAATATGTGTGATAGAAAACAAACAGACCAGGAAAGGCAATATTCAGAAACAAGATAGGAATATAAAATTTAGAAATCAGAACCAAACTCCTAAATGTGTCAGAGGATTATATCTTGGTGCTAACAAAGCTGAAAACCAACAAACATTAAAATATACTAAAAATAATAAAAACAGAAAAGCTAACTGGAGAAAAAATAACTCAACTAGTAATGCCAAGAAAGAGCAAATGTTAGTACTGAAGGAAAGAAGAAAAAGAGAAATACACATACAGAAAAGAGTAAAGGTTTTTAAAAATCCAGTAGATCATGATAACTCATCCATCTGTTTCTCAGTTTATGTTACACTAGATACTGTTCAGAGTAAATTATCAAAAAGACTAAGGAGAAACCTAATTGGTTTTAGAAGAAATACAAGAGAAACATCTTTGAATAATTTCTTGCAGAAATTTGGTGATTTTCTTAAACACCTTCCAAAACACAAAACACTTGGTAATGAAAAAGTTACAGGCATTGATATTAGTATTAAAATAAAAAAATCCCGAAATGACTCTCATTTTCCCATACGAACACAAAAACCAAACATAAATATTTTAATATTATCAAAAAGTACTTCTCAGCCTCCAGGAATACTGTCCATCCCAAAACATATGGGAACAGCTGAAAAGAAAAGAAAGATGTCACATGAGAAACCTTGGAAAATTCCTCATTCTGTTTCTTTGCATAAAATAAAGCATAATTCTGAGCATAAATTCAAACTCAATACTTTTAAAACAAATGAACAGAATAGTAAACAATAAAGCAGATAAAGATATAGAAATGGGAATGGTAGAAAAATCTATGGACACAAAATTACAGCTTTCATTAGGTTTTTAAAAAACTATGTAAAATATAAAAGTTTCTAAAATTCACCATAAAATAGTAAATGTAGAATTGATTACTACAAAATCCCCAAATTCACAGTAAATTTGAGAATACCATCATGATGTCAACTCATTTTAAGAGACAAAGGCAAGTAATTGGCACAGAAAGGAAGCAAATACTGCTAGCTTAGTTACTCATTTGAAGTTGTCAGAAACAGTAAAACACATACCAAACAATCCTATCAGCAGATCGAAACAAATGTAACTTGGCCACATACATGAACTGCTAAGAAAATTAAAGACATTCATTAGGATTTTTCCACAGCAGATGCTGAAGCAAGCACAAGAAAATATCCAACGTTTAACCAAAACTTTTGTTCAAACCCCTTCAGAAACTCCTTAATATGCCTCAATTTAAAATATTCAGGAATTTTTTTAAAAATCTAATGAAATGTTGATAAAAGTATAACAGTGTTGAAGTAAACAAAATTCTCATATTGCAAGTTGGCAAGAAAAAAGCAAAGTTAAGCTCCATAAAAAATATCTTCAATTTAGTTTTAATCTGTAGTAGAGAAGGAAAAGAAACTTTGAAAAAAATGTGGATTTGAACTTTTACTAGAAACAAATCATTAGTTTGTTTAATAAAAATAAAAATTCTTCATGCTAGTGTTATTCAGTGAAAAGGAATTCAAATATTTTAACCACCAAAATCAAATATTAGAAGTTTGTTAGCCTTTAACGATACTTTATTAAAATGTGGCTTTCTATAGCTAGACTTTTAAGTTTATATTCAAATATATTGATTCTCCATGTTTATTCACATGAGCATGTATATCAAGCATTATATCAAGTATGTACAGTAGCCGAAGTTACTTTGCATAAACAGTAAGCAAGTCCATTAAACAACACTGCATAAGTGTAGACTCTAAAAAGGCTGATGACCATTTGGACTCTATTCCAATATTTTCACTTGCATATCATTGACTTTCTTTTTGTCTTTGTAATTTCTGCACAGGTCAGTGGGCCAAATTCTGGCACTGCAAAATAGGCAGCCTCCAGAAAACCCACAGCCAGAAAAGGGAGCACAAAGTAGAAGATCACTATTGCTCTCAGTCACAATCAAAAAGTGGTTTCCTCACAGACTTTCCATGACCAGAGCTGCAGAAGGTGCTTTATAAGTCATGATCTAAAAGTCAGGAAATATGATTGAGATGTCTATCCATGTATGCTCACTGATGTGGACATGCCTTCCACTCGGCCCCCTCTATAGACAAGACTAGAAATAGACTGTCAGAAGGAATTGTGTCTAGGATGAATGTTGACTGGAATACACATTTACATTAATGCTAAACTACAAGGGCAATTAGTGAAATAATTACTCTTAATATTAGTATAAATGAAATAATACTATATTGAGTCAAAGTACACAATCACATGTATAATGTTAATTCTTGAAATCAAGAGTGTTAATTAGTCCTCAGTGGGAAGGCCACTTTGAAAAATGAAGGGGCATATGCTGAATATTCATTCAATTTTTTCCCTAAGATAGTGCTGAATGGAGTTTAATTCTAACCAAACATCTTAGCAATATTCTGATAACTTGCTATCAAGGACGAGATTTTGGTCTGTGTTGAAAACACTTTCAAATGTAATATAGCTTTTGAACACTAACCTATCAGGCCATCTGTGTTGTAAAGATTTGTACTGGAATTCCTGTTTATGGGTTTTTCCTCATTTTTCTTCCTCTTAAAATTCTGCTTTAGAGGATAAAACTATAGCATGTATTTACAAGAGATATATTATAACTAATGTTAGGCTGGTTTCAGAGTTGGAGCTTTCATAAGTAGTTAATTAGAATTAATTGCCTCTTTTATTGCATATATCATAAATTCTAAGGGACAGTCTATACCACTGATATAATGTGTGTTAAAATTCAAGGTCAAGGCAATAATTTGCATTAAAATCCCATTAAGGGATATGACTACTGTGTATGTGGATGAGGGGAAGGGGATGCTATGGGTTCAATGTGCAAATCAAGTGGTTCCCAGAGAATCTATAATAGGCTCTGGTCATCCATTCAAGGGCCCAATGTCCCTAAGTTTGGACTCCCAGCAGCTCCCCATATATTATGGCTTTATTGGAGAATCTCTACTATAGATCCACTCAGACCACAGACTCTGCTTGAAATTCCATTATAGTTTCAGTGGGTGCAGAAGGGTACAAAGTTTGCATCCTCCTCCTGGCTTGTTCACCCTGCCCTGTATTTTCTTTAGCAATGTTAAAATGGATAATTCTATATTTTATCTATATAAACTCTTATATTTCCCCTGTTTATTTCAGTGTACCTTTTATCTTGCATGTTCTTCATAAAATTATTGTTCGTGTCTTATATTGTATTTTCTGCTGTATATTTATATAAAACGTCTTTCGTTATCCTTTTGAAAATATTCATGTTTAACTGGTCGCAAAAGCTATCTGCTTTATCTGTTTTAGTACAGTTAACAAGAAAATAGAATGGGTAAATGAAAATATGTAATTTTGTGGACTATCTTGTCATTGATTTTTATGAAAAATCCATCTCTAAGAATTCTGCATGCAGAATATATAGTGGGCAGGATGGTATAATAAATACTTTTGTTGTTCACAATGTTTTATAAACATTAATTCTCACAACACATAGGTCAGAATGTCTTCCTCAACGACTTTGAGTGAGTTGGCACTGACTAAGTCCTTGGCTTCAGGGGGTAGCCAAATTAGTCTGTACAGTTGTTTTTTAAGTTTATTAAGTCCTTGGCATCAGTGCAGCTGATACTGACCATATGGAATACACCATCTACTGACCATATGGAATACATTCTTACATCAGCTGTCGATTTCACTATGCGCACCAGTACATAAATAACCATTGATACTGATGATGTTCCTGGTGGTACCACAAGTGTTACCATGAGCCAAAAGACCTGATTGTCTCTGACACTCAAGATTTGCCATTCTTCTGTATTGAGCTTCCAGTGGTCTATTCCTCTCCCTCAGAGATATATCTTGTCATACATCTCTTTCCTTCACCATCAAAGACTGTTCCACCTTTCTCCAATGAGGTGGAAGAGGAGGTGTACTTACTCCCCATGATCATCTTAAAGGACTCCATGCAGAGAATCATACTACTGCCCTCAATACCTAGAGACCAGAAGTGACCCAGATCTTTTTTATGGACACCTCTGGATGCAACCTCCAGATGCCTGTTCTCTCACGTTGGCCTTATTGTACCCTGAGGCTGTATATAGGCCAATCTTTCCCAAACTGTACATGGAGCAGAGACAGGGACAAGTGCACTCTAAGTCCTCATCAGACTCTAGGGTTCCCAACCCAGATCCACAATTGCAAGACGAGCATGATGAAGAAATGGAGGAAAAGGTTACACCACAAGTCCACACCTTCTTATCCTCACCCGATGAGGCCATCATGCCACAACCTCGTACACTGGCTGATGATTTTAAACAGTTTCAGAAACTGTTGTGCAGAATTGCCAGTTCTCTCCAGATACCCTAGGAGGAAATTAGAGAACAGCACAGGTTGCTCAACATCTTGCAAGCTTCCACATCTGCAAAGATCACACTCCTGATCAACAAGGCCTTGTTGGACCTGGCCAAAGTGTTCTAGCAGACGCCAGCATCAATACCACCTATCTGCAAGCTAGTGAACAAGAGCTATCATGTCCCCACTAAGGACGTGGAATTCCTATTTTCTCTTCCTACTTTGAATTCCCTCGTAATCAATGTTTTGAAGGAGAAAAGATGACAGTACCATTCCAGAACCTCTCCTGATGACAGGGTCTCAAAATAACTCTTCAGTTGCAAAGAATATTCTTTGGCTACACTCCAGTTTCAAACTGCTAAATACAAGGCTCTCCTAGCTAAATATAACCATATCAACTATTCCAAGCATGAGGAGTACTGCCAGCTTATTCCAGAGGACAAAAAGGAGCAGTTGCAGGCACTGCTGGCAGAATCCTCCCTGTATACCATGGACATAATGGCCTATCCCAATGTGATGTCTGTGGTGATGGGACAAGCCTTAAGGCTCCATTGCTCAGGGAGGTGTAGACCCCTGTGGAAGATCTACTGTTTAAAAGGTCTAAATTCTTTACTAAGCGCCCTGATGCAGCCCTTCATTCTTTAAAGGTTCTTCTTTGGTAGTGTTCCCGTGGGTACTCCACTGTAGGTGTCAGGCTCGTCCTGGCTCCGCAGGTCAGAGATTCATCAGCCGTGGTTTAGCCGGCTTCGTGCCATTTCTGAGTCTGCATGCAGTCTGCCTCCTGCCAGTTCCTCCTAACCGTTCACAGTCACAAGCGGAGTGAACTGCTTCTCCTTATTTTGACTGAAAAAATCTGCAAATAATTAGTTTATAGTTAGTTTTTAGTCATTGGTACTTGTTTAAGATATAGTTACACTTGATAATTCATTTAAAAAAATTGAAATAATATATATTGTTTCTTCTAGTTATTCGTGTACATAGTTATAGTAGTGTTACAGTTAAATTTCTACTTCACCAAAGCTCAACAAAATGCTGAGATCTCCTGATTTCAAGAAATGCTGTACATGCTGCGACGCAATGCCGGTGTCCGACGGTCATGTATCAAGTGCTTGGGCGAGGGTCAGATCCCTTAGAAATGCCCGCACTGCTCAAAGCTGATGGCGCATGCGAGATAAGACTGCGAAATGCACCTAAAAATGTTATTATTCAGCAAAGTACTACAACCTGCTGAAAGCGACCCAGCCGTACCTCCTATGGCCGCAGGAAGACCACCAGCAACCCACAGAATTAGCATAGGTGATAAGTTGGGCACATCCGGCTTGTCTTCCAACAACCAGGTTCGCAGACACAAAACGAGCCATACTGTATCGGAGCCGAGTCCGACCTCACATAGGGAGGCGGCACAGGCAGTGATAATGGCCCCAAGAGCCGATTCAGTACCCACGCCGACCAAACAAAGGCCAACGGCACCAGCCAAATTGGCACTGATTACGGCACCGAGCTTGCCGGCTCTGGCACCGCCCTTGAGTCCATCCGCATCGTCGGGCTCCACGGCCAGCTCAACGGCGGGTGAGCCCTGTGGCACCGAATCACAGGGCGCCAAGTCCTGCGGTGCCGAGTCCTGCGGTGCCGAGCCCTGCGGCACCACTTTCCACCCAAGGATTGCACCGAACGACACAGACTACACCGGCACCAAGCTCAAGAGAGGCACCGCGGCAACCAGTACCTATGTCACATATGGTTCCAACACCAGTACAGCATGTATCTCAAGGACAGGACCGACTTTCTCCTCAAATACGCAAGGCTACCCACAAATCCAGGAGGATAATCAAACCTTCCCCAGCCCGGATCCAGTGGGATTTTCTCCTCAGCCTCCTTCACCAGCTTCGGTACTCTCGATTCCTACGCAACACGAGGACTGCCCTAGTCCTTATCAGAGGCGCTCTCCATGGTATTCACCATTGCCTCAGCGCTACCATAGACATTCACACTCCCCAACATATTCTAGAAGAAGATCTCGTTCTCCTAGGTCACCTACGAGATCCTCCTACACTAAGTACCACCATGTATTGCATAGGAGATATTCTGCACATTATCCCTCTTCTCAGCATTGCCACAACAAGTATCATCGTCACCGTGACTACTATTCACATCGTTACTCTTACAGTCACTCCTGCTTGTCTTCTCCGTGCTACCATCAAAGACATTCACACAGTACCACCAGGTTACGATCAGCGCCTCAACCATCTAAAAGGCCACCAACTTCCTCAGGAGATGCACCTCCACCAGTGCAACATCCAGAACAACAGGAATCCATTTCAGAACATGGTCAATCCCAGACACTGTCCCCAACAGACCAGTCTTCCTCTTCTCCAGATGACGTAGTCTTTCCAGGAGATTCTTCTCCGGTAGATGATATCAAACAATTCCACAACCCCTTTAAAAGGGTAGCAGAATTTCAAGAAGTACAACTGGGGGAGGTACAACAAAAACAGTATCGACTTCTTAAAAACTTTCAACCGTCGCAGAAAAGCAAGATGACTTTGCCTTTGGATGAAGCGATATTAGAAATTGCAAACGACATCTGGCAGACACCAGCTTCCTCCCAAGCGATGCTTAAGAGGGCTGACAAAAAATATTTTGTGTCCTGCAAAGGGATGGAATTTCTATACACATACCCTCAGACAAATTCCTTGGTCGTTGACGCCACTTGACAACGAGCCAAGACCCCTCAATATAAAAATACCTCCTCCGACAAAGAAGCCAAACGTTTAGACCTTTTCAGAAGAAAAGTGTACTCATCCGCCACGTTAACATTATTAATGGCAAAATACTCGGTGCTCCTTTCCAATCACAACTTTAATAATTATACAAAGTTAGTGATACTTCTGGAACATCTGCCCGAGGATAAGCATCAGCTTCCGAAATCAGTGGTGCAAGAAGTTTATACGGCCTCGAGAGCAGCATTGCAAATCTCCTTGGACATTGCAGATACAGCAGCCCGTACCACAGCAACATCGATAGTAACGAGGTGCTCTTCTTGGCTTCAGATGGCGGCTGCACCCAAAAAATTGCAGACAAAGGTAGAGGACCTGCCATTTGACAGGCAGAGTCTGTTAGCAGCTAACACCAACCAAGTCCTCCACTCCAGAAAGGACTCCAGGACAACACTCAAGATTCAACAAGATACAAGATCTCGTCCACACCATCTCTGTCAGTCCCAGAGTCACCATACTTATCAGCCTAACGCTCCTGGGGCATATGGCGGCAACGACCTACGTGGTACAACATGCGAGGCTTCATCTCAGATGTCTGCAGCACTGGGTAGCTTCAGTCTATCGCCAGGGCAACCAAGATGTCCACAGACTAGTCACGGTGCCTGCTATAGTGAGATACTCCCTGAAATGGTGGACGTCCGCCACCAACATGCTTACTGGAGTCCCCTTCCATCGTCCGCAACTAGATATCCAAATTACTTCGGATGCGTCACTTATGGGATGGGGAGCACATTGCGCAGGGAAGCACATGCAAGGCCAATGGACTGCAGCAGAAGCATTCCAGCATATCAACCTTACCTACCTTAGATGTTCAGAGAGCTTTGGACTTCTATCTAGAGAGAACACGACCTTTCCGACAATCACAACGCCTTCTACTATGCACGGACGAGCAAACCAAAGGCCGTCCTTTATCCTTGCAGCATATTTCCAAACTAATTGTGAAATGCATTGCACATTGTTATTTGATACGCCATAAGCCAGTACCTACCTCAAAACATGCTCATTCCACCAGAGCAACAGCCATAACCACAGCCTTCCTCTGAGGTGATAGAAATGTAGCCATGTTAGTCTGGGGTAGCTGAAGCAAAATGCAGGACAATGTAGCACTTTAAAGACTAACAAGATGGTTTATTAGATGATGAGCTTTCGTGGGCCAGACCCACTTCCTCAGATCAAATAGTGGAAGAAAGTAGTCACAACCATATATACCAAAGGATACAATTAAAAAAAAGAACAAATATGAAAAGGACAAATCACATTGCAGAACAGAAGGAGGAGGGGGGGGGGTGGGAAGGGGGAGGAAGGAAGGTAAGTGTCTGTGAATTGATGATATTAG